TCTTGGGGAAGGTCATAAACTTGGAATGTGCTGGACCAACTGCCAGACCAGATACAAGCAAACAGCTTAATAATAGTTGTGCAGTGAGACTTGTACCAGGAGCTACAGAAACCAAAAGGTTACCCAGTCTTTGGTCTCAGCAAGTATTTTGGGTTTAAGAACCAAGACTCCAACACTGGTGAACTCAGGACACCTACACGCAATGTAACTTTCTCACTCTACGTTTGCTGCTGAAGTATTTGTTGGAATTTTTTTTTTTTTTCAAGTTGTCTTTACCAGACTAAAATGATCAGCTCTGTGCAAGGCATGAAGAGAAAATAGAAAACTCTGGAGAGAGTAGACAGTTTAAGGGTTCAAAGAGAAATAAATGGTTTGTCTCAGCATTCTGCCAGGGAGTTGAAGGACGTAAGATCTGCTCTCTGTGCAGGCAGCAGAGGACACTGGACACAACAACTTTAAAGAGAAAATGAAGATTCAAAACCAAAGTATGTTCTAAAGAACAAGCAGCACACTTACCTGCTGGTAGATGCACTTACCTCTTTCAGCATGCAGTGGAATGAATCACATATTTACAGTGAAAATGATTTTGCTGCTTGAACTTAACAGCAGTGTGTATGATATTCCTAAAGTCTGTTTATATATTATTATGTACCTGTCATCACAACACAGAGATGCCTGGGTAAGATTGTGTGTTAGACAACTCCTACCTGCCAAATATCCTGAAGGAGGGGGACACCCATCTACCTTTAAAAAGCATCCGTACACTGCAGCATTCACACTGCAGCCTTTACATGTCAAAAGGGACAGCTCCTTCTAGACCAGTTTAGCCAGGAAACGTGTGAAATCTGCATGCTCAACTTTAGTGAGGCCAGAGATAAGACAGAACAAAACCCTGAACTGGCCACATCCAGGTGGGTCAGACACCCACAGTTCCTGTCAGAATCCCAGCCTTTGTCACAGCTGTCAAGCTGCTGCAGTTTGTTCCCTTTACATACACTTTTACAGGCTCTCTGATCCCTTTTCCTCGTGTACCAAGGCCGTGTCCTTCTTGCCAGCCCATCTTCTGAAGCATCTGGAAACCCACATTTTTGTTTGTCAGTTTCTTGTGTGAAAACTCTAAATCTTTAGGTTTCTGCAGAGAGGAAAAAAGACAGAGAAACAGGGGGCTTTTGTTATAGAGAGCCACCATGTACTTAAATTAAACAAAAGTAAATTAATCGTGTTTTTACAGAAATATCTTTAAGCAGCATTTCTCCATTCACAGAGAAAAAGTCTATCAGAGTAAACATCTGCTCGGTCAATTTTTTAAAAAAAAACAACTCTTAATACTCTTTAAGAGGACAAGTTCAGCATACAGCTGTTCAGTAAGGCTCTAACTGAAGATATCTTAATTTTGACACAGACAGTAAGAGACAACAGGAGCCATGGCTGCCCACAGACTTAGTACAGTCTTTTCCAGGATCAGGCTCCCCAGGTTTGAAATGATTTTAAGAGAATGACTCATTAATAGAGGCTGTCTCTTAAGACAATTGATTCTCAGAACGCGATAGCAAACCAGAAGAGTTCTTTACCTTCTTCTTCTTTGTAACTGGGCAACCACGAGGCCTATCATAAGCGATTCTGACAGGTTCATGAACTGCAAAGTCAAATCAAAGAAAATTTGTCTGTGAAAACAACCAATTTTAATACAGAAGTCCAAAAATACACACTCAAGTGGAACTAACTCAATGCCTTACTCTAAATACAGTGCCATCAAGAAAAAAGCATCTTGCTCTCTGCATTCTGCACTATCTTAATGACAAAAGAAGGGAATTATTTCTACCCTTCCCTTCTAAGACAAAATGTGTATGCAGCACTCTACCTAGTTTTAGACAAATCATCCATACTGCTCCACACATCCATTCTGTAAGAACTTCATGTCTTTCATTTTCATGAGCTTCTCTTACGCTCCAGTAGAAAATTCAGATTGGACTTAAATGAGGTTATTGTACAATGTTACCGCAACACGAACAGCAAAATTTATCAATAAACATTTACAAATATCTTTTATCTGCATAAAGTAGCTGCAGAGCACATGCAGTAGTAAGTTTTAAGTATTGGTCTCAAGTCTTAAAATATCGTGACAAGAAAAAACAAAAATACCTTTTGACAATATGGCAGTGTTTAACACGTGAAAATAGCTCTGGATTGATCTAAATATATTCGGAGTAGTTAAACATTCAGAGTATGTTCACTGCTAGGCTTAAGATTGTTTCAACTTGCCATACAGTGATGAAATAAAAGCTCAAAGCTATTACTATGTTTTTCTGAAGGAGCAGAGAAAGGATAATGTTTACATAGAGAATTCTTAGGAGTGGTGTTTGACAGAGGTTCTCAAATGAGAAGCAAAGCTTTGCTACTGCACTAGAATACAAAATCTGTTACCCATTAATCAGATTTGCCTGTGTCATTTGAATGAGGCTTTTAAATGAACAGCATACTCATCTTTGAATTCAAGACATGTAATTCTTTCAGCCAATACCAACCAGTAACACACCACAGAAATGCAGGAATTTCCTGTCACTACGTACAAATATCCTTCAAATAACATTCACCTTTTGGTTCTTCTATGAGGCATATCCTTTTAGAGGCAGGAATCATACCAACTTTCAATGACTTGCTGCTGATTCGTTTGCGAGGAAATAGGGTACCAGGAACAGGAGTAGATGCCTGTGTTGACAGATTTGGTACAGCACCATCAGATGATGTGGCTAGCTGCCTTTCACCTGCTGAAATTTCCTCTCCCGTTTTGGAAATCATATCTTCAGGTGGGTTCTCCTCACTTCTACCTGCTGAGAAGTCCTCCTCTTCTCCCTCCTCTGCTTGCTCCATTTCCATTTCTTCCAAAGGTCGGGAACTGTCCTCTTCAAATTCGGCTTCCTCCTCATTATCTTCTTCTTCCTCCTCTTCATCATCTTCCTCCTCCTCCTCCGAAATATCCAGATTTCTCTCTTCGGGTTTAGTACCTTCCCCAGCATCAGTTGTTTCTGACACAGCACTGAAGTTAATAGATGGACATAACTCATAGACTTTCATTCGGTAAAATTTGAAAGCAGAACTATTTCGATCCTGTAGAAACCTGGGCAAAAATTACAGTGAAAGTTATGTCCAAAATGATTTTTCTTAGCCAGCATGAAGCATGCCACTACAAATAAATTCCTTATTTTTGAATGGCGTTTCGAGAGGTGTTTTGAAGCACTGCAGTATTCCCTTACAACATGTACTAAACTCAGCAATCATTCTGCCAAAAATCTTAGAGCCATACTCATCAGCAGCTCGCAAACTGCTCTTGGAAAAGATCTCGATAAGATTATCTTCATGATATAGACAAAATACACATATTTTTATAGGCCAGTTTTGCATAGATGAACGTGCAGGTTACTCACCAAAGATCGGGGTTATCTGCGCTGTTGTCTATGCTGAACTGCTCAATTTCTGGTCCTACCTGAGCAACGAACTTGGCCAGCTTCTCAGCAGTTTCCATTGTTTTAGCATCCACTGCAAGAAACAGAACATCCATGCAAAGCCTACAACACCGGAACGTCAATATAGTTCAGAATTACCTACTTTAGCAAAATAAAGATTAGAATTTCCAGTAGAACATTCTATGGAATCTATAATTATCTCCTCAAAATTATTTGAGGTCAAATCTTGCATCTTCACTTACCATCAGGAAACTGAGAGGGCAATGGTGGGAAAAGTTCAGGTGGTGCCAATATATCTTCAGATTCTGCCCCTTCTTCTGCTGGCAGAGAAACTTCTGGACATTGTGAGGACCCAGTTGTATCCAAGGAGGAATTCTTCTCGGCCACGCTGGTTTCTGATACAGAAGGCTTTGACTGGACTGAGCCTTGGATGCGCTTGTCTTGGTGTTTCAGCATTGTACCAGCTGACAGCACAGTCTGTGTCCCTGTTGTTGCCCTCCTCACCTTCCTTCCTCGAGTAATTCCACGTTGTGCAATAATGCCAAGACTTTTCCTTTTAAATAGTCTTCTCTTAATACTTGCTACTTTCCTGGCATACAACATGGCCCTTACTGATTCTGATGCAGATTCTTCTAGTGTTCTGCCCTCACCACCTGCTTCCTTGCCAGACGATGCCCGTCTCTGCATCTCCGATAACTTCAGTCTGTAATATTTGTATTCGAGGCTGTCTTCTTCAGACAAGAACCTAAAGAAAAATGAGAGAAATAACATGAAGGCCTAAACCAAAAGCCCAATTAATCTCAAATTCTCAGATCAGAAACTTAGTATATCCCTCAAAAACGATCAGTTGTTACTCAGGTTACTGCACTAACAATCCCTCGCACAGGGTTTTCTCTCAGAATAAAAGGCAACTCCATTTCTAAAGTAGTGAGTCAAGAAAATTTTGTCAAGCAAGCAAATGATAGAGGGTTCTGACATAAATTATTTGGCTAGCAATTAATCACCTACGCTGCACATATGTACATACTGTCAAATGTAAAAGATCATTACATTTGGAGTGTCTCAGCTTTCCTTTTCCAGTATTATATGGAGAACTCTGGATCCATAAGTCCATTATACACTTAAAAATATATATGTATATGTTAACTACATTTGCTTAATGTTTTCTCTGTAAACAGAGATTGGTTTAAATTCTTGTATTTGCATCAACTTACAGTCATCATTGACAGATCACAAGGAATGTGGGCTACCAGACAAAATAAAAGCACCAGGACAAATTCCTGGGATATGAAGATGTAGAATTAATTAGCTTGGCAAACATTTCTGAAGAGTCACGTGAAATATACCATAGGCTTTGATCTTACACCAAGTGAGTGGAACATTAAAACTCTAAGCATCTTCAGTGGAAGAGAGCAAAGTGATGTTATGACATACTGATGTTCTAATTGCACGAACGCGCCTACCAATATTCAGGACAGTTCTTTTGAGCGTTTCTCTCTTTGGCAGACAAGGTTCCTGCAACAATGCTATTCACTAGCTTTTCAATTGTCTCTACAACTTTCCGATCCGCTCGCTGGGGGACTGCAAGAAGAAACAAAACAGAATCATTTCATTATTCTCGTCAACAGGGTATCAATATATCATCTTTCTATTCTCTTGACATTCTGACATTTGTATTTTTTTCAACATATCAACACACACAAAAAAAGGATACACTTAACAGAATATGTTAAGGAAATCTCAGAAACTTGGGTCTCTTTCCTGAACTCACCATACATCTAGAACAGTTTGTCTTGAGAAGCATCACAGTTTAAGAAATCTAGCTTTTCCCATACTGGGAAGATAAACCATCTTTGAAATAGCAATTATTTTTAACATAAAAATGCTTTTGTGCAGAGCAAACATATCTGAACACCACTTTGAAAGGGTAAGTTGCAAGTTCAGTGCTGGAAAACCTCACTGCTGAAACAGCTGAAGTCCAAAAAGGAAGAAACAGATGAGCATAGTAAAGAATAAACATACTTCAGAGCAAGAACTAGATGGCCTAATACGGGAAAGAAGCACTATTCCTGAAGATAGTAGTAAATGAACAACTTTGAAGAAAGACACCTGCATCTGGTGAAGGTGGAAACTGTAACATCTCATAGCTTTGCTTACTTGAAAATGCTTATCCTGTCACATAGCCAATTGGCCAATTAGTTGGTGGCCCTCGGTTCCCTAGCTCAAGGCTGGGATAGCAGAAGGAAGTAGCTGAAATAATCATAGAATCACAGAATCCTTAATGTTGGAAGGGACCTCTAGGGATCATCTAGTCCAACCCCCTGCACACGCGGGGTCACCTAGAGCACGTGGCACAGGGCTGCGTCCAAGTGGGTCTGAAGATCTCCAGAGAAGGAGACTCCACAACCTCTCTGGGCAGCCTGTTCCAGGGCTCTGCCACCCTCACTGTCAAGGAATATTTCCTTAAGTTCCTGTGGAACTTTTGATGCTTCAGTTTGCGGCTGTTTCCTCTAGTTGTGTCGGTGGCCACCAGTGCAAAGAGGCCGCCCCATCCTCCTCACTGCCTCCCTTGAGGTACTTCTAGACACTGCTCAGGTCCCCTCTCAGCCTTCTCTTCTCCAGCTGAACAGGCCCAGCTCCCTCAGCCTCTCCTCATAGGGCAGATGTTCCAGGCCCCTGATCATCCTTCTAGCCATGCGCTGGACTCTCTCCAGAAGCTCCACATCCCTCTTGTCCTGCAGAGCCCAGAACTGGACGCAGTTCTCCAGATGCGGCCTCACAAGGGCCAAGTAGAGGGGCAGGATCACCTCCCTTGACCTGCTGCTGGAGATGCTCTTCATAACGCACCCCAGGATCCCATTGGCCTTCTTGGCCAATAATCCTAAAAAATCCTCGAATTGAAGTGCAAGCACATGCAGTAGAGGAGGGCAAGGAGACACGCTTCCATCTGCAGAGCCGGCACAGAGCTGAAAGCTGCTGCTGTAACACAGTGGTACACACTGAGCCACTGCCACGCGTCTACATGGAATTCCCAGCATCAGGGATTCCGACCTAACAGAAGCACAACAATTTAAGGTAAAAGCCTGATGAAGAGAAACTACGTACTGGGAAAGTATCTTACAGAATTTCACTTACTCTTAATTTTGGGGTCAGGAGATGTTTTAAGCTGTACTTGTACAGTGGACTCTGGTTCAGCTTTTTTCATCTGAATTGGATATCCACTTTTCTCCAACCAAGCCTTCAAATTTTCTATATACTCTCTTCCAAACAATGTTGAATCATCAAAATTGGGGAATAATGTTGGTGCAGGAGCCATTTCCTGGAGCCCTACAGCTTCAAGTATTTTCTCTTGTCTGAAAACAGATGCTAATGCAAAGGTCTGACCCAGAAGCGCTAAAGACTTACGACAAAGAGAAACAGTGGTCTCAAAAGCATTTGCCATTTCTCTGGGATTACCAAAACCACTTGTTTTAATGCTTAATTCATATGCATTGCAGGCCATGAGCAGAGGTGTAACACCTTTTAGCAGACGGTCTTGGAGCCTCATTATGTATTTATCAAAAGGTTTTATTATTTCAAAGAAGCAGTTCTTTGTTTTCACAGCACCTTTGTCCAAAAGCATATTTAAAAACTCATTATCCACTTTGGGAGTTTTCAGAGCAGCATGTTGTAAACTCTTGATAGTAAAGAAACAATAATCTCTGTGCTCTGGCTTTAGTGAGCATTTGAATGAAGCAAGCATTTTTGCACAGGTTTCTGTCTCTAGCTCAAAAAGTGCTCCAAAGAGCCGGGAAAATTCTGCATCATTTTTTATTGCATGAAATCCAGCCCATTTTATGATTTCTATTCCAAACGTTGAAAAAATGTCAGACTTGTCCACAAGGTCAAAACTGAGATTTCTGAAAACATGAGCAGGCTTTGGGAGTCTGAGGATAGGTCTCTGGGTTGTTAGAGTTGGTCTCTGATTTGGACGCGGAGGCAACTTTTGATTAGGGTGTGGGATGGTCACCGGCCTCTGGTTTGGACATTCGGCAGCCTCGGGCATTTGATCAGATTGCATAGTCAGCTTCTGTTCAGGCTCCGGTTGCAGCTTTTTAGTGTTCCATTTCTTTAGCGGAGGTTTGATATCTCCTTTAAATACTTTAGCTTTGGCAGCACCCCTTGTAATACGTTTTCCCCGCAGAACTCTTCCCCTGCCAAGGTTGCCCCTCCGTACCGGGGGCCTGAACTCACTGTCGCTTTGAATTCCAAAGTCCATATCATACTCCTGACTTTCCATGTTACCGTATTCGTCTTCCATGAGTCCTGGGGATCTAAAGTCACCTAAAATATCCGGAGAACTAAAGTCAGTTTCATGTGGCCCGGTGGGCTCCCAGGGCTCAGGATGGCCATAGTCCTGGTCATGAGAGGCCAGGTCCCCATACTCCCGGTCATGGGAAAGCGGGCGCCCATATTCCCGGTCATGGGACACCGGGCGCCCGTATTCCCGGTTACGAGATGCTGGGTGCCCGTACTCTCTGTCATGAGAAGCCGGGCGCGCATACTCCCGGTCACGAGATGCTGGATGGCCAAATTCCCTGTCATGGGATGCCGGGCGCCCAAATTCCCGGTCACGAGCTGCTGGGCGGCCGTACTGTTCGTGATAATAGTTATCTTTCCTTACGAGAGGGCTGCCTGATCTGTAAGAAGGTCCTGGATATTCATCTCGAGGGTCTTCACTCCAGTCATCATGGGGATGGTGTTGGCTCTCATCATGCGTGTATCTTCCCTCATCATGAAAACTGTCTTCATATCTCGGTCTTGGGACTGGCCTTGAATGAGCTGAAATGAGAAAGACCTGAATTCATGTCTTGCACAGCAAGAAGTACTAAGAAAAAAATAATAAATGGATAAAAGTCACAAGCACATCTGGATACTTGACTGGTCAACATGCCAAGTCTTTGAGATACAGTATTCATAGCTAACTTCAGGATATTCCTATTTACTTTCTTATATGTCTTGAGTCAATAAATACAATCAACCAATGATTAAAAATGCCTAGACACACATGAGAAAACAATTAAAACCTTTTCAGATATAGTTAAAACAGAAACGCAAGTTCTCTGTCAGAATTGCACAGGTGAAGAGCCTATTTTCTACATACTGATACACAATTCCACAAGATTTAAAGAACAAGACAGTTTTTGAAGGAAGCTGCCTCTGCAGCATCAAAGACAGAAACCCCAGAAATTCCTGTGAAATAGCCAGGTATCTTGCCCATTCCCTAATTCTAAAAATTGAATGCAAAAAAATACGGAATATAAGAACAGGCTATTTAAATTAATCATTCCTTTGGAATTTAGAGCACATTATGGAAATATAAAGGATCTTATTTTAAAACACCTAACTTGCTGTGAATGCAACCCATATAATCATTCCAGACATTCTGGCTATTCGGAAGATAAAGGAGCGTGAAGCTCATGCATGGCTCACACGCACCGGATTAATCTCTTGCTTTGAGCTCTTCCTTTCTCTCAAAGGCCACGCGCTGCTCCCCTGCATTAGCCGATCGGACACCGAGGCAAGGCCGCCCGGAGCCGCCGTCTGCCGAGACCTCCCTGAAGGCGGCCCCGCTCCGAGGCGGCCCGCGCAGGACCCCATTGTCTGCAATCCCGTTTTCCCTCGGCATTTGCCCTCCGGAGCGGGCTGGGGGCTGCCGGCAGAGCGGGTGGCCTCTTAATCAGAGAAGGACGCGGAGGAAACGCGGGTGCGGGGCGGCCCGGGACAGCGGGGGCCGCCGTTACCTTTGAAGGGATGGAGAGGCTCCTCCAGGGCGCCGCCGCGCTCCATCCGGTACCGCTTCACTTTGTCCTGCACCACGGCGTCGAACGTCTCCCGCGTGATGCGCCGAGAGGCCATCTTTCACCCCCGCAGCACAAAGCCGCCCCC